TGGGAGTGGGTGGAAATTTTATCAGGTTGATGGTTTAGATCTGCATACGGTAAAATACACCCCTTCGAAAGGTTCTTCTTACATTAAACTACCAAAACATCTCGAGAGTAAAAAGGCTATAATAAACATGAAAAACGAGGATGAAGAGTGCTTCAAATGGTGTGTCACGAGAGCGTTGAATCCTGTTGCAAAAAATCCAGAGCGTATCACAAAGATTTTGAGAGAGCAGGCAGAGAAATTAAAATGGGATGGGATTAGGTTCCCGATGGAGGTAAAGGATATTCACCGCTTTGAAAAGTTGAATCCGGAGATAAGAGTCAACGTTTACATGTATAACAATAGACTCAACCCCTTGAGAGTGAGCAGCATTACTCATGCTGTAAATGTAGTTGATCTTCTTCTCATTACTGAAGGTGACAAAAAGCATTATTGCCTCATCAAGAATTTGAGTCGGCTCGTATCGAGTAGCCTATCGAAAAATGAGCATAAGAAGTTTATATGTAGGAGGTGTCTTAATTATTTCGGTTCTCAGCGAGTTCTTGACACACACAGCGAGTTGTGCCAAAATCATGAGGCTGTGAGAGAAAAGATGCCACCTTCTGGGGCTTATCTCTCTTTTAAAAATCACCAAAAGCAGATGACCATGCCATTCGTCATCTATGCAGACTTTGAGTCGTTAATCAAACCTTTAGACACCGTACAAGCAGATCCGGCAGGGTGTTACACTGAGAGAAAGCAACAACATATTCCAATAAGTTTTTGTTATTATGTTAAGTGTTCATTTGATGATAGATACTCAAAACGGGTTGAGTATACAACCAAGTCTGAAGATGAAGATGTGGCACAGAAATTCGTTGAAATGCTTGAAGCAGAGGTTAAGGACATATACAAAAATCATCCTCCTAAAAAGATGATCTTCACAGACAGTGATGTTGAAATCTTTGAAAATGCAACGTGTTGTTGGTTGTGTAGAGAAGATTTCAAAGAGGGGGAAGACAAAGTGCGCGATCACTGTCATTACACCGGTAAATTTCGAGGGGCTGCGCATAACAGCTGCAACCTAAAATTCCGACGACCAAAATTCACACCTGTCGTCTTTCACAACTTGACAAACTATGACGCTCATCTCTTCGTTAGAAATCTCAGTGTTTCAGAAGGAGACATTGACTGCATACCAAACAACGAAGAAAAATACATTAGCTTTACGAAACACGTTGTGGTTGACAAGTTTTTCAACAAAGGAAAAGAAAAAGACGTCGAGGTAAAGAGAGAGCTGAGATTCATTGACAGCTTCAAATTTATGGCTTCCAGTCTTGACAAGCTTGTTAACAACCTTGCCAAAAAGGGTGAGTCTTTCTTCCAAAATACAAGAAAATATTATTCTGGAGAGAAGCTTAATCTGCTGATGAGAAAGGGTGTTTATCCCTATGAATGGGTGAACTCTATACGAAAACTTGATGAGACACAATTTCCGCCGAAAGAAGCTTTCTTCTCCGTATTAAGTGGTAAAGGTATCTTGGATAAAGACTATACCCATGCTCAAAATGTATGGAGCGTCTTTCGTTGTAAGACATTCAGAGATTACCACAATCTCTACAATCGAAGCGACGTGCTTTTACTAGCCGATGTGTTTGAAAACTTTCGCGAGCTTTGCAAAGAGAATTACGATCTCGATCCTTGTTGGTACTTCACCGCGCCGGGTTTGGCTTGGGATGCCTGCCTCAAGTTGACTGAGATAGAACTTGAGTTGTTGAGCGATATAAATATGTTACACATGTTTGAGGCCGGTATTCGTGGTGGGATTTCAATGATCTCGACAAGACATGCAAAAGCCAACAACAAATACATGGGAGAAAGCTTTAACCCTACCCAACCTTCAAAGTTCATCACGTATCTCGATGCAAACAACCTTTACGGTTGGGCGATGAGTAAAAATCTTCCAACGGGAGGTTTTGAATGGGTAAACGAGAAAGATTTTGACAAATGGGAGAGCTTCGCTTGCATTCTTGAAGTCGACCTGAAAGGTGTCACTTCTGAGCTTCACGATCACTTCAACGAGTATCCACCCGCCCCTGAAAATCTATTGATTGGTAAAGTAAAGAAATTGGTCTGTACGTTAAACGAAAAGAAAAAGTACATCGTTCATCATGAGACACTAAAACATTACATGAGTCTTGGAATAGAGATAGGAAAGATTCACCGCATCATTAGGTTTGAAGAGAGACCTTGGATGAAAAAGTACATCGATTTGAAGACATCTTTGAGAGCAAAGGCTAACAACGACTTTGAAAAGGACTTCTACAAGCTGATGAACAACGCTGTCTTTGGCAAAACGATGGAAAACATTCGAAAACGCGTCGACGTGAGACTTGTCAACTCAGAGGAAAAGGCAAGAAAGTTGGCAAACAAGGTCAACTTCAAACATTGCACCATCTTCTCTGAAGATCTATGTGCAATGCACATGGGGAAGACGCAGATTTACTTCAATAAACCTCTCTATCTCGGGATGAGCATCCTTGATATTAGTAAGACATTGATGTACGACTTTCAATACAACTACATCAAACCTAAGTACCCAAATGACAAATCAAAGCTTCTTTTTACAGACACTGATAGTCTTTGTTATGAGATTCACACATCAGATTTTTACAAAGATATAACTGACGATGTAGACCGTTGGTTTGACACGAGCAACATTTCGAAAGAGCATCCTTCCGGGGTGCCAACCGGTGTGAACAAGAAAGTGATTGGAATGTTTAAAGATGAGGCAGGTGGAAAGATCATTGAAGAGTTTGTTGGCTTGAGGGCTAAGCTGTACAGCTACAAGATGTTTGATGATGGTACAGAAAAGAAGAAGTGTAAGGGGGTGAAGGGGGGTGTGGTAGATCGCACGATCAACTTAGATGACTACAAGAGATGTTTGTTTGGTGGTGGAAAACAACTTCGAACAATGAACACGCTTCGGAGCCGAAAGCACGAGATGTATATGGAAGAGATCAATAAAGTCGCTCTATCCGCTGATGATGACAAGCGAATCATTTTACCAGATAAAATACACACACACGCGATAGGACATTTTATCAGCTGAGAAAAACTGACATTAATTTGCATAAAACCACAAAAAACCCGGTCACACAACACACTTAAAGACAAATGGCACGTCGTCAAATTATTGTGCATGCACGATGATTTAACGTGAATACCACAAATAGACGATGGGAAAAGTGCTAAAATAACGTGCATGCACGATTATTTGATGTGAATTTAAAAACATACTTAAAGAATCTCCCGAAAGTGCTAAATTAACGTGATTTCACGTTAATTTAACGATATAGCATAAAACAGACCATGAAAGTACCAAATTAACGTAAATGTACGTTAATTTGACGTATTTGGAGAAAATGGCTCAGACCTCGTTAAATACATAGTGAATATACGATAATTTTGATGAGAATAAAATGAGTCAGAACCGGCCTTTATGCCACTACTAAGGGAGAATACATGTTGGTAATTTTACAGCAACTCTTGCAGTCTCTCAGTCTCGCGGTCAGTCAAGTGCTCTGTGCTTCTTTGTAGGAGTTCCTGTAGGGGTTCTGGTAGAGTCCTTACAATAGCTTCATGTGGTAAATGCTGATTGATTACTCTAGCTTGGCCCTCAACAATCTCTTGATTCTCTTTATAAGGCTCCAGTGAAGTGACATCAATAACGGGCTTAGCCAGGGCAACCACAGTCTCTGCAGCCAAGCTGTAAGTCTTGTCAGAAGCATTGAAAACAGGTAAGGGAACAACTCTGTCCTATTTTACATCCACTAGAGTCCTTGCAACATAGAGGCCCTTTTGTTGCAAATGTGAGGTGAGGCAAGGCTCTAACAATTGCATGCCCAATTGAGATCCCTTTGAATTTAAGTTAGTGAAACCTTGTGAACAGTGACTGGGACAATCACCTCAGTGTTTGGTTCAATAATTGTTCACCTTTGCACTATGCATCATGAACTAACGGGCTGGTTCTTGAAATCACAACAATGAAACACTTCTCCATTAATCTACACTCGATTTTTTGCAATGTCAATGTGCGAATCAGCTTGTGACAAGAATAGGCTTTTTGCAGCTAGAGATTACGTGCTTAGATACCACATAGCAACGCCATACTGGAGAGCAAGCACTCCAGTGATCTCAGACAGTATAGAGGTCACAGAGGTCTGCATTCAAACAAAGAGTACAGCGGATAACAGGTCAAAAGGTATCCCAATTTGAGAAATTCAGTAAGAAATAATCAACAGCTCCCCCGGAGTGTATCAGCAGCAAAATCACACCAAAATTCATTTTTCACTGATACACTCCAAGGAAGGTGTTGATTAAAACTTACAAGATTTCTTGAATTGGGATACCCTTTAACTTGTTATCCGCTGTATTCTTTGTTTGAATGCAGACCTCTGTGTTCTATATTTTGTCGGAGATCACTGGAGTGCTTCTTCTCCAGTACAGTGTTGCTATGCGGTATCTAAGCATGTGATGTCTAACTGCAAAAGGCCTATTCCATACCCAGAATTCCCTCATCCTCAATCTCAATCTCAATCTCAATCTCGCCCACAATTACATGCATTTGAAACTCTTTAGTACCCAGGCACACAACAGCATGTCCCAGACCACGTGTGTTTTGCTTCCTGACCATCAGCAAGAGCAATCACAGAATTTGTTTAACTTAAACTGAACTTGACACTGTAGGTAAATAATCATAAATCTGTAACAACAAAATAAAACGAGGAGCACCAGTGTCTATCAACCACATAACACGAGTTCCACCAATAAAGCCTTGCAAATAAAGGCCATGTAATTTATTACTAACCTGCGACCTTTCCATGGGCGCATCGGAACAAACCATGTGCTGTCTTGACAATGGTTGTGGAATGGCATTGGTTACATCCTGTCCAACAGTGGGGCCAACATCACTTGTACTCAGGCATCCCCCTGGCTCTTGGGTGACACCCCACTGCCCTTTCCAGAGCCCAGTTTGTTATGGTCGTGTAACTCACTATAGTTGTTGACTGGGGGAAAATGTGCAGAGATGATGACTAAACATGCCAAAATTGGCACAAACTAGTTGGTTGAATACTTTTTTGAATTACTCAACCCCAAGAAATAAGCGATGTGGTCCTGGTTAGAAGATATTTATCCCATTCCCATTTTTGACATTTTCCCTCATTCTAAGTGATCAAATCGCAGTCTCAGTTTTCCCAGGGCAAAAACAAGCCAATCTCAGGTTAATTTTACCCCTTCAGGACCCTGTATGAATGCAGGGTTGAGTTCACAGTAAAAAATGTCAATAAACTGCCTCTGAGGTTTCATTGCTAAGAGGACATTGTTTGGTGTTTTTTTTTTTACATTTAGTTCTGTATGGGATGGCTAGGAAATGTACAAAGTTTTAAAACACACATGTTGTTTTACTTTGAGTTTTTTTGTGAATGCCATCCCGGGTAGACGGGTTACCCCACCGGGCTGACTGAGAAGTTTACCTTGGTGGATCACCCCACCTACCATGTAAGCATGATAAACACAAGATAAGAAATTATATCGACTGGTGTATTATCCTACCTAGGGGGGTTACCTCACATACCTGGGGTCTCCCACCACAATAATAATAATAATAATAATTAATAATTTATTACTTATATAGCGCTACTTACAATAACAGATCAATAGCACTTTACAACTGATATCTCTAAATATTAAAATCTCATCTATTTAAAAAATAAATAGATAAATAAATAATAATTACATATTACAGTTAAATTGGCTATATAGGATTCATAATTTATCTACCATTAAAAGGTTTGCCTAAAAAGAAAAGTCTTAATTGAATTCTTAAAAATTTCTACAGATCGAATATTGCGTAGTTGCAATGGAAGCTCATTCCATAGATGCGGTGCAGCTGCCTGAAATGCACGTTTACCCAGGGTTGCCATCATTTTGCCTCTAGGTGGCTCTAATAAAATACCTGAGTTAGATCTAAGATTGTACAAGGACTTGCGTTTGATAACTAAAAGATTGCTAATATATGCGGGTGCGAGGCCATGGATGGCTTTAAAAGTTAATAATAGGATCTTAAAGTGTATACGCGCTAGTACTGGTAACCAGTGTAACTCATAGAGTACTGGAGTAATGTGAGAATACTTCCCGATATCCATAATTAGTCTGGCGGCAGCATTTTGCACGCGTTGTAACTTAGCTATTTGCTCTTTGGGAAGGCCATACAATAAAGCATTACAGTAATCTAACCTACTCGTGATGAATGCGTGTACCAAAGTGCGTAAGCTGTCTCCCGATAAATACTTCCTAATGCGTCTAATATTATGCAAGTAGAAAAAACCCACCTTACATACATTAGTAATATGGTGGCGCATATTCAGGTTTGGATCAAGCCAGCTCCCAAGGTTCTTAACTTGGTGGCTAGATTTTATCTCTGAACCACCTACTTTAATATTCATAGCCTGTAATTTGTTAAGTTGCTGGCGTGTTCCAATAATAATAAACTCAGTCTTGTCGTCATTAAGAAGGAGTCTATCATGGATCAGCCAGCGCCTGATCTTCTCGATACAACATTCCATCGCACGGATTGCATCTTCCTGGGATGTGTTACTGATAGGTTTGAAACTCAGATAAATCTGTGTGTCGTCGGCATAGCAATGCACGTGTGGAAGTTGATCTTCAACCACTCTGAATAGCTTGGATGCATAGATTAGAAACAGCAGGGGGCCCAGACATGACCCTTGTGGGACACCACACTCCAGGCTAAAGCGCTCTGAAAGAGATCCGTCGATGGAGACTCGCTGGCCTCTTTTCGCCAGATACGACCTGAACCATTCCAACGCCAATCCGCATATCCCAAGCTGTAATTAGTACCCGCTTTTGTATTACATCATACTGTAAATATTTTATTCATGGCTGCGAGCAGTCGGTCTATTGAAGGGTCTTGAATAATTCAAGCGGTTCGAAGTTACGACAGGAATATTTAATAAGTTCCCCGCTTCGCCATTAACAAATCTTGTTTCTGGGCCAGGATTCTCACAAATATCACCCGCCAGCAGTAGGAGATACAAGGCCACCAGCATGGCGTCGAGTAAGCATAGTCCAGACTCAACTTTGAGCACTGGTGGAACGACCTCTGTACTACAATACTGTTGCATTGAATTAGTCGTAATAAACCTTGAGTAACATTGAGTTGATTTTCTCATAGTAAACCTTGAATAACACTCCCTGTCCAGACTCAGCACTTTGCATAGCGACCAATAACTGTTAGGTAGATCAGCAGATGACTTAGAGGGATCCAAAGTTGAAGTAAGTGTTAAGACGAGCACTAGCAGTGCGGAGCGTCTTAAGACACATCGGCCCGCCATCACTCAGTGTAAACAGGCCCTTGTAATAGGTTCCCTTTTATAATTTCCTGACTCATATCATGAGATGTATTTCTATTTCAGATTTTGTCATAGGTTTTTTTTAGTTTTTTAACTGTTCTTCTATTTTTATAATAAGCTATTTATTTTACTTATTGCTATCTATATTTGTAACAGTATTATCATATGAACTGTATGTGGGCCACAAGTTTATTAGCCTTTTGGCTTTCAAGTGTTACCCTCTCTAAATAAAGAGTTTACTTACTCACTTACTGGGCTCAAATCCTATTGAGGGCCAGCTGGGGGTGTACAAAGCTTGGTGAATGAGTTTGAGAACATGTAAGTCTCTTTGTTGTCGTATTGATAACCACCCTATCTTAACAATATCGTTAATGTTATTTACATACCTATTCAGGACAAAACTAGCAGCTACCAGCTGGACACGTTGTAAACGCTTTAATTGAAATTCTGGCAAAGGGTAATAGACAATGTCTCAATAATTGAGTTTTGACAGCACCAGTGACTCTGCTAAGTGCTTTCTTAATTTGTAACCAGCAAAGTTCTTAAGTTTCCTTAGTATTTGTATTGTTCTGTAACAACTCTTGCATGTTGCTTGCACCTGCTCATCCTAATTTAGGTGCTGGTGGAAATGGACACCAAGAAGGTTACTCACATTTACATAATGTGCTATCTGAGA